TTCCCCGCTGTTGATGCTCGAAATGTCAGACAGGACCAGAGCAGCAGCCGGCGTGTGTTTCAAAGACACCAGATGGATTTTTATATTAGCTACTATTTCATGTTCAGACAGAGCGACCGCACCGCTCAAACGGCAGCCTCGATGCTGCCGAGTTTGCTTCTGAGATTAATTTTGCGAAATTAATTGGGACAAGATTGAAAAGGAAATTAAAATGCAGCTGAGTGAACAGGCGACGTGTGGGCACTGGGCATCGTCGGCGCTGCCTCCCCGGCACTCGGCCACCCTTTTGTCCTCGCCTGCGATGGGTGTCCCCTCATTTATAAAAATTACCTGGGAGGAATGAGGCTGCCAGGGGCTTGTTCTGGACGATTGGTTCCCGCTGGGGGGGCGAGGGGGCCGGCGGGGGAAGGATGGCCCTTGCTTGAATTTGACCGGTGGGTGACCGTTGCCTTCCAGCTGACCCCGCTGTCCCATCCTCATCCCTCCCGACTCGGGAGCCTCCCAGAAGGGTTATTAATGGGAGGCAAACGCTGCTGAGCCCCGGGAGCCCACCCCACCAGAGACCCCGGGGGGCTGCGCCCAGCACCCCGGGATGCAGCTGCGCGCTGAGCCCCACCGGGCTCGTTCCACGGTGCTCCATCACCCACCAGGTTCAGTGCATTGAGGGGGGCACCCATGGCCACCCCTGTGGCCGCTCCCCACGAGCGAGATGGCCCCAAATCCAGGGAAAATGCCACTAGATGTCACCACACGCCTTTTGCTCGGGGTCCGGGGTATGGGAATATGCCCCCCCGCTTCCCCCCCTGCTTTCATTGAAAGCAATTGAGAGAATTAACTTATCCGGTTTTATGGCCTGCTTGTCACATCCAACTAAGCCCACTTAAAATAGGAAGTCTCGCTGCATTCAAATAATTATCATAACGTACAATCACTCAGCCGGGGGACAAGGGACCGGTGCCGGGGAAGGGGACGCGATGCTGGGGTTTTTGCTGGGATTGCTGCTTCTCCCCCCACCCCCAGATTAATTCCCCCGTGCATTAGCCCGGCTGGGCTGCACTGAGTGGGGTAGCAGTGTTTTGGGGGCCCTGCAAAGCAGGGTGACGAGGTGGGGTACGGGCTCTGCAGTGACCCCCCCAGCCCTGTTATCCCTGAAGAGCTGGGGCCTGACGAAGCGCTGGTGGCTCTAGGGGTGCAACAAGGAGCCTCCTGCCGGGGTCTGGGGGGGTGATGAGAAAAGCCCCTGACAGCGGCGTCCCCTGGCCTCCCAACATGGCAGCAAAGGGACCGCTCCAAGGAGGGGGCCAGCGGGGGACGATGCTGCCCTTGCCCCAGGCAGGACTGTGCATCCTCTCTGCCCCAGCACCCCCCCCCCTCCCCCCGCCCGCAGAACCCGGGCCGCCGGGTCC